AAATCCAGCTTTTGCCATCACAGGAATAAATGACATTTTAAAATATATGAAAATAGAAAACTGTTACCTTAAATAATGATATTTCACAGTAATTATATTTTTTTATATTGTATGTTTGATCAAATAAATGCTCCGTTAGTGAGCATAAGAGACTTCATTAAAAAAATCTTCATTAAAAAAAATATTACATGCCCCAAACGTTTTGAACGATAGTGTAATTATATGATTTATATGAATAATTTTTTTTAAATATAATTTATTACTGGAAAAAAATACATTAGTATATGAATAAATTAACATTAATCAAAGTTAATAAATGCTGTAAAAGTACTGTTCATGGTACTGTTCATACTGTTCTACTGAATAGTATTGCCAACCTTTTCAGCTCAAATAAACATTTCCATCAGGATCACGCCAGTGTCCCAAACACTTTTGGGATCTCCTGTCGCCTCTGGCTTGCTTAGTTGGGGACACTTCATTTCCAGCGATATCGTTGACATGATTGCAAAGATATTATTTAAACTGAGCTGGATGTTGACATCACTGAATTCAATGATGAACTGTCTTTAACTGAAAAATGAGTGTTTACTATTGTCATTTTGCATTATTGACACTATTTTCCTAATTAATGCTGTTCAGTTGCTTTGTCACAATCTGTATTGTTAAAAGCGCTATATAAATAAAGGTGACTTGACTTGACATTTAAAATATACTATCTTTATGTTGTTTCTACATTCCTGTGGCCTTCATTAAAAAAATCTTCATTAAAAAAAATATTACATGCCCCAAACGTTTTGAACGATAGTGTAATTATATGATTTATATGAATAATTTTTTTTAAATATAATTTATTACTGGAAAAAAATACATTAGTATATGAATAAATTAACATTAATCAAAATTAATAAATGCTGTAAAAGTACTGTTCATGGTACTGTTCATACTGTTCTACTGAATAGTATTGCCAACCTTTTCAGCTCAAATAAACATTTCCATCAGGATCACGCCAGTGTCCCAAACACTTTATTGGGGTTTATTTTGTAATAATGACCAACTGAAAATATATAATAATATGACAATCCCCTATTTGTGAATGTGCAGCAAACTGACAACATGACCAGTAAGCTGAGTCGAGAGGAAGAGGAGCTTGAGAGTCTGAAGACAGAGTGCAATGTTGCTGGGTGCCAGATTCAGAGTCTGCAGGCCGAAACCGAGTCTATTAGAGCTCTGGTAGGACAACCTTCTCAAAGCAAAGATCATAAAGCACAACAGTATTCAATTCACTAGACTGAACTATGTATGATCCCTGCAGAAACGAGGCCTGGAGAACGCCATCAACGACGCCAAGCACTGGCATGGCATTGAGCTCCAAAATCTGGGCTCTGTTATCGGAAAGCTGGAGTCTGAGCTCAACGATGTCCACAGGGACATCGAGCAGCAGCGGCGTGATTATGAAACCTTACTCAACAACGAGATGAAGCTGGAGATGGAGATCGGAACATATCATGGAATCCTGGATGGAGAGGAGAGCATATTCTCCTCCTCAACGTAAGGCCAATTTTCAATCTACTTATAACAAGAGGATAAGACAACTAATGTCCTTACTCCTGTCTTCTTCCTCGTTCCTCAAAAGTATTAAATCTGGGATCTCCAAACTCGGTCCTGGAGGGCCGGTGTCCTGCAGAGTTCAGCTCCAACTTGCCTCAACACACCTGCCTGGAAGTTTCTAGTATACCCAGTAAGAGCTTGATTAGCTGGTTCAAGTGTGTTTGATTAGGATTGGAGCTAAACTCTGCAGGACACCAGCCCTCCAGGACCGGATCTGGAGACCCCTGAATTAAATTCTTTAAAACAAAAAAACTCCTTAGTTTCAGTTTCTGTGATCCCAGACTGATCTCTCAGGTAACCACAATGTTGTTCTGTACTGCAGGTTCCCCGGTGGTTCTTCAGTACCTGAGGGAAGAACTGATCCCACACCTTCCACATCTGGACCACAAAGCAGTCTACAGACTGAAGGTACCGTTTCCATCTACAGAATGTAGTTCTCAAATTATCTAATTGTATTGTGAATATTAAGCTTAACATTAATGATGACAATGTTTTGTAGAGAATATTAAGAGACGATCAAGGAATTTTTTAGATTAAAAATGTCTTTTGATGTCTTCTATCAGGTTCTAATGCTCCTGGTGCTCCAGAAGAAAGCAAACAGGAATGATATATTTTATTAACCTTTGCAAAAATGTTGATTTTCATTTGTTTCTCCTCGCTTGTAATTTACACCATCTATAGACTACGTGACTTCTGTGCAGGTTAGAAATAAATGCAAATATAATGCATAAACTGAAGATGCACTCATAAAAATATTGACCTCAGTTCATTTTTATTGAGCATTTCGCTGAAGATTTTATATACAAAGACTCTCCAGTTGTTTCTCTGACACTAGCCTCTATGATTCAATATTCTGATCTTATGTGCCTATATCCTATTTTACTCCCATGGGTAGCAAAGCCATAAATCATAGTGTGGGAGATATGAATAATTGACTATGGTCAAAACTGAAGCTCCTTAACACGATAATAACACTTTGTGGTTATAATGACACGTCTATGAAACAGCCACTTAGACGTTACTTCAAATCCATGTTATCGTTCTGAACTATCATTTCTTTGTTTAAGAAATCCTCAAATATCGCATTTACTGCATGCATGAGAAAAAAGCACAAAGCTATAACAAAAGTCAATAGGCAACTGACATTTCTAGTACAAATAGGTGGTTTTTAAAGAAAAACAGTCCTGAATTTACGCTAATTTTACTGAGATTTTATTGAATATTTCATTTAAAAAAAAAAGTGCAAAGTCATGCAAAATCTTAAGACATGACAGTCTAGAATAGTACACTAAAATATAGTTGCATAAACGGATTCTAACAGAAACTGAAAGATATTCATATTTAGGGTTATTCATTCAGAAATACAGCAGATTTCATTTCTCTGGTCTCGTTGGGTCTCCAATGACAGAAAAGCATCCAGCACAGTAACGAGCCGGTTTCTTTGTGTTAGCAGAATTGGCTCTTTTCATACGGAATCCAAGACTGCTGACCCTCACATCCTACAAACGTCAGCACAGCTGTAATATTCCATATACAAATAGGTTTGATTATGTAACATCATAAACATGCTTCTCACCTGTGAGTTTCCTAGTGTTACACTTTCTGACGGCCGTGGATCTGATGGTTGGATCAGTAGAGGTGTCTGTAAGATGAAGAACGAATGTATTACATCAGTTATAGTTAGTCTTTTCAATACCAGAAACAGCTTTAATTATACATTTTGTTTTTTATACCTTCTGAAGTGGCTCCATAGGAAAAGCAGTTGAGAAGTTCAGCACAGAGATGAGCAGTAACACCATCAGGGCTCTTTTCATGTTCCCAGTCATCTTCCGTCTCATACTAACTGAACAAGCAAACACCTGTTGAATTAAAACACCACTCAAAAGGGTGGGACCCAAAGCTGTTGTGCGTCACAGAGAAAATTATGGCACAGGGCGGCATTGTGTCCATAAAATCAATGTTTATTTAAGACATTTAGGAATTATGTGAAAACTAATATTTTAGTCCCACACAAAAGATCTCAGTTAATGCCGTTCCTTCAGGTTAAATGGAAATGTTTTAAAAAGTTAACAGGGCGGCAGACTCGATATTTGTCCCTGTTGAGCTCTCCCATCTCAAACGGAGGTAGCCGAGGAATATATTCAAACACATATATATTAGATTTCTGTAAACTTGATTCTCATTTATGTGACAAACTACCATGTGCAATGCTATAAAAAGAGGAAAAATTACAGCTAATAATAAATTAAAAGTAGAAATACTGCATCACAATTGGAAGTTAATACAAAATAAATCAAAATAAAATCAGCAGAGAAATGCAGTACTGGTATTATGAGAAGGAAAATATAAACCGTATTAAAAATTCACAGTCAGTAATCCTAATTTCAGATGTGTTATGTGAAATTAAAACCATCAAGTTGCAAAATGTATACGTCTATACAGTCATGAAACATAATTTGCACAAAACATGGGAATGTTTCATTTAAATCTCCAACACTCACAGTTCAATAAGAGGATGTGAAGCCACTATAGTAAATCATCCTGAAAGCACATATCTGACAAGAGTCCTACGTCAGTTACACTTTCCCTGGTATGTGTGCTGGTTCTCAAAAATACGAAGGTCAAATTAAAAAGTAAAAGAAAGACATGGGATTGGATGGGTACAACACAACCCATCCATCCAAGATACAGAGCTGGTGATCTGTCACCCCCAAATCAAAAAGATGTTTTCTTTCAAATCTAAAAGAAATCAAGTCAATAAAGTGGTGAAAACAAAAAATAGTCCCATGTAAAGTGTAAAGTCATGGCACATCTAGCAGATGTTTTGCACATACAAATAAGAGGTCAGTTGCTCACATTAAATTTCCATCAATAGCCCAAATAAAATACGATTAGTACTTCTAAGTAAGAAAAATTCTTGATAAAATATTATTAAAAACAAGTTTATCCTTATTAATCATACCTTCTTGATTATACTCTCCCAATTATGGCATGGGTTAACAGTGGTTAACTTTCACCTGTCTCGAAATCTGAATTGGCTTCCAGTTTAGAGGAATAAAATTACAAATTTATATGTATATATGATGATATTCCCCAACAACTGATGCTTTAATGGGCCCACAATACACACTATCTGATAACAGTGCAAAAGTGTGCTTTTTAGCAGAAATGCGGCCCATTTCCTGTAAATGTCTTCGAATGTATGTGTGAATTCTACATTTGGTTGTCAAAAAAACTAAACAGGATTACATCACCATTAAAGGTGTACTGGCATATCTGCTTTAGGCCTTTCTCAATAAAAAGCCTGAATAATAGTACCTCGGATACAAACATGTGAACCAAGGGTCATGAATGCATTTTGTTAGACCACTCAGTACAAAAGCCTTTTTTTTTATAATTAAAATGTCCTTATGGGCTGAGGGAGACTGTGGTGTTAAGCGGGTTGTAATGGTATACAGCCCACCCCGACCCCGCCTTCATGGCAAACCATTGGTGCCATAAACGTCCAACGGTTAGTTTCTGGGTCATACATTTCCATAGAGCTGAGATTGGATTGTCCATCATAACCTCCCACTGCATAGAGTTGACCACAATTGGCCACCAGAGAAATGCGGCTGCGTCGAGTGTTCATGGCCACTAGGTGGCTCCACTGATCTGCTACTGAGCTATACACCTCTGCTCCACTGAGAAACGCAGAGCCGTCGTAACCTCCTGCCACATACAGATTGCTGCCAAAGGCTGCAGCGCCGTGCCGACAGCGCTTGTTTTTCATGGGGGCGACAGGGTGCCATAACGCTGTATGATGGTTGTAGTACTCCACCTAGTGGCAGAAACATGAAACAACAATATATTTATATATTTAAGGAATATTCACAACTTCACAAAAAGTGACCAAAAACAAAAATGCAAATTGTATCCTGTAATTTGAATGATGATGTTTACTTACGGTGTTAAAGATCTGTAGTCCATCATGACCACCCGAAACATATATTCTGCCTTCAAATACAGTAACGCCAGCAGCACTGCGGCTTGCGCTCATTTCTGTAACTATCGTCCATCTGGTAACAAACACACATAAACACATTCTGATTCCAAAGAAAGCTACAGTGATTGTTAGATGGATAGTTTAATAAACAGAGCAAAATAGTGTTGTCAAAGGATTTTCGATACCAAAACCACGTTGCTATCGAAGACATCTTTACTTAAAACATGAAATATTAATATAAATATATTAATTAATAAATGATTAAAATAAACATGCAAACACTGTTATAAAAGTTATAAAATTAGGAACAGAAAAACATAAGCAAAGGAATAAATTATATTAACAACATTATTATTTAATAGACAGTAGCAAGACTATTAGGCTGTGTTTACATTTTCCATCTGCTCAAATATTGAAGATTGCATGATTGCATACAACCTTTTGAATTGCATATAGTTTGGCCAAGATTAAATAAGCATTTAATTATAGTGTCATGCACTAGATGTGCCTATATCCTATTTTACTCCCATGGGTAGCAAAGCCATAAATCATAGTGTGGGAGATATGAATAATTGACTATGGTCAAAACTGAAGCTCCTTAACACGATAATAACACTTTGTGGTTATAATGACACGTCTATGAAACAGCCACTTAGACGTTACTTCAAATCCATGTTATCGTTCTGAACTATCATTTCTTTGTTTAGGAAATCCTCAAATATCGCATTTACTGCATGCATGAGAAAAAAGCACAAAAGCTATAACAAAAGTCAATAGGCAACTGACATTTCTAGTACAAATAGGTGATGTTTTTAAAGAAAAACAGTCCTGAATTTACGCTAATTTTACTGAGATTTTATTGAATATTTCATTTTTTTAAAAAGTGCAAAGTCATGCAAAATCTTAAGACATGACAGTCTAGAATAGTACACTAAAATATAGTTGCATAAACAGATTCTAACAGAAACTGAAAGATATTCATATTTAGGGTTATTCATTCAGAAATACAGCAGATTTCATTTCTCTGGTCTCGTTGGGTCTCCAATGACAGAAAAGCATCCAGCACAGTAACGAGCCGGTTTCTTTGTGTTAGCAGAATTGGCTCTTTTCATACGGAATCCAAGACTGCTGACCCTCACATCCTACAAACGTCAGCACAGCTGTAATATTCCATATACAAATAGGTTTGATTATGTAACATCATAAACATGCTTCTCACCTGTGAGCTTCCTAGTGTTACACTTTCTGACGGCCGTGGATCTGATGGTTGGATCAGTAGAGGTGTCTGTAAGATGAAGAACGAATGTATTACATCAGTTATAGTTAGTCTTTTCAATACCAGAAACAGCTTTAATTATACATTTTGTTTTTTATACCTTCTGAAGTGGCTCCATAGGAAAAGCAGTTGAGAAGTTCAGCACAGAGATGAGCAGTAACACCATCAGGGCTCTTTTCATGTTCCCAGTCATCTTCCGTCTCATACTAACTGAACAAGCAAACACCTGTTGAATTAAAACACCACTCAAAAGGGTGGGACCCAAAGCTGTTGTGCGTCACAGAGAAAATTATGGCACAGGGCGGCATTGTGTCCATAAAATCAATGTTTATTTAAGACATTTAGGAATTATGTGAAAACTAATATTTTAGTCCCACACAAAAGATCTCAGTTAATGCCGTTCCTTCAGGTTAAATGGAAATGTTTTAAAAAGTTAACAGGGCGGCAGACTCGATATTTGTCCCTGTTGAGCTCTCCCATCTCAAACGGAGGTAGCCGAGGAATATATTCAAACACATATATATTAGATTTCTGTAAACTTGATTCTCATTTATGTGACAAACTACCATGTGCAATGCTATAAAAAGAGGAAAAATTACAGCTAATAATAAATTAAAAGTAGAAATACTGCATCACAATTGGAAGTTAATACAAAATAAATCAAAATAAAATCAGCAGAGAAATGCAGTACTGGTATTATGAGAAGGAAAATATAAACCGTATTAAAAATTCACAGTCAGTAATCCTAATTTCAGATGTGTTATGTGAAATTAAAACCATCAAGTTGCAAAATGTATACGTCTATACAGTCATGAAACATAATTTGCACAAAACATGGGAATGTTTCATTTAAATCTCCAACACTCACAGTTCAATAAGAGGATGTGAAGCCACTATAGTAAATCATCCTGAAAGCACATATCTGACAAGAGTCCTACGTCAGTTACACTTTCCCTGGTATGTGTGCTGGTTCTCAAAAATACGAAGGTCAAATTAAAAAGTAAAAGAAAGACATGGGATTGGATGGGTACAACACAACCCATCCATCCAAGATACAGAGCTGGTGATCTGTCACCCCCAAATCAAAAAGATGTTTTCTTTCAAATCTAAAAGAAATCAAGTCAATAAAGTGGTGAAAACAAAAAATAGTCCCATGTAAAGTGTAAAGTCATGGCACATCTAGCAGATGTTTTGCACATACAAATAAGAGGTCAGTTGCTCACATTAAATTTCCATCAATAGCCCAAATAAAATACGATTAGTACTTCTAAGTAAGAAAAATTCTTGATAAAATATTATTAAAAACAAGTTTATCCTTATTAATCATACCTTCTTGATTATACTCTCCCAATTATGGCATGGGTTAACAGTGGTTAACTTTCACCTGTCTCGAAATCTGAATTGGCTTCCAGTTTAGAGGAATAAAATTACAAATTTATATGTATATATGATGATATTCCCCAACAACTGATGCTTTAATGGGCCCACAATACACACTATCTGATAACAGTGCAAAAGTGTGCTTTTTAGCAGAAATGCGGCCCATTTCCTGTAAATGTCTTCGAATGTATGTGTGAATTCTACATTTGGTTGTCAAAAAAACTAAACAGGATTACATCACCATTAAAGGTGTACTGGCATATCTGCTTTAGGCCTTTCTCAATAAAAAGCCTGAATAATAGTACCTCGGATACAAACATGTGAACCAAGGGTCATGAATGCATTTTGTTAGACCACTCAGTACAAAAGCCTTTTTTTTTATAATTAAAATGTCCTTATGGGCTGAGGGAGACTGTGGTGTTAAGCGGGTTGTAATGGTATACAGCCCACCCCGACCCCGCCTTCATGGCAAACCATTGGTGCCATAAACGTCCAACGGTTAGTTTCTGGGTCATACATTTCCATAGAGCTGAGATTGGATTGTCCATCATAACCTCCCACTGCATAGAGTTGACCACAATTGGCCACCAGAGAAATGCGGCTTTTGGGAAACGCTCACCTGACTGTGATGTTATCATTATTATTTAATTATATATATATATACCCGTTATATTCAAAAGTTTGGGGTCTTTAAGATTTAAAAACCTCTTATAGGTTTCTTATGTTTACCAAGACTGTAATTACTTGATTAACAATACAATAAAAACAGTAATATTGTGAAATATTACAAAAGAACTGATTTCTATCTGAATATATTTTCAAATGGAATTTATTTCTTAAGGGAAAGCTGAATTTTCAGCAGTTATTACTGCAGTCTTCAGTGTCACGTAATCCTTCAGATATAATATGCAGATTTGGTGCTCAAGAAACATTATTAACTTATTATTATAAATGTTGAAAATGTTGTGCTGCTTAATATTTTTGTGCAAACAGTGATATTTTTTTCAGGATTCATTGGTGAATGAATAGTTTTTTAATTATTTGAATTCAATTAATTTTAATTATTGAATTAAACTTTTTTGAAACAGAAAAATTTGTCTTTTACGGTCACTTTTGATCCATTTGATGCATCCTTGCAGAATAAAAGTATTAATGTGTTTTGAAAAAAATCTTGAAAAAACTGATCCATTGGCCTTATGAAGAAATTGTTATTTGTTTACACTTTACCTCTGTTGTAAAAAAGAGCAGCAGGCATCTTTGACATTTTGAAGCTGCAGGAAACTGGCCCCTATCAGGAGGGCCTGGACGTTTTGCTGGTCTATGGCTATGTGTCCGTTGTAGGCAAAGTTTATTAGAGCTTCAAGTGCACTGTTTAGAGGCAAATCAGAGATTAAAACTCTAATGTACATTTACAAACAACACAAAAGAGCATGTCTAGAGATCTCAGTTGTCCTTTTGAGGTTTGTATCTTCACCTGGGGTCCATGCCCTGCATGACGATCTCATCCTGTTTGCATTCCACCATGTCATTGGTGAACATGGCATGGAAGTACGGAATAGAAGCAGCAAGGACTATTCTGTGAGCACTGAATTTGTGCTCTCCTACCTGCATAAACAGACAGATACACAAATCTTGATCAGAAATCATCTCATATATACACAATACAGAAAAATTTACTGGTTCAATGTTCAACTGAGTGCCATAAAAATAAAAAATAAATAAATCTGAAACATTACTAACTCTCCACCCAAACGAAAACAAATTATGACCATTCTTCTGGGCAAAAATTAACAGACAAGTTACATTTTAATGAATGAAGCAGCATGTGAGAAAACAAGGAGCAGTGAGCCATTGAGAAAAACCTAATATACTGAAATCTGTTGTATAATATACTGAAATCTGTAGTATATATCCTACAACCCTCCTCCTGTAGTATATATATCCTACAATCATTGGTACAACCCTCCCTTCTCTTCAAGAACAGTACTCATCCAGAGTGAGCAAAAGGGCTGTCAAAATCACTCTGGACCCCTCACATCCAGCACACTCCCTCTTTGAACTGTTGCCATCTGGTCGACGCTACAGAGCTCTGAGCACCAGAACGGCCAGACACAGGAACAGTTTCTTCCCTCAGGCAATCCATCTCATGAACACTTGACAATAACTGTGGAACACACAACACTATTTATACACTCATACACTTATTTATCTAACACGCATACTATTGTAATATACCTGCACATACAATTGTCAATTTATATATTGTTATTCCTTATTTACTTGTTCTATTTTTTTTATTCTTCTTTTATTATCTGTGTTTTTGTTCTGATCCTGTCATTCTGTTGCACTGCGGAAGCTTCTGTCACGAAAACAAATTCCTCGCATGTGAAAACATACCTGGCAAAAAAGCTCATTCTGATTCTGATTCTATAGCTGTTAGTCAGCAAAAGCATGCATACAGTAGGTGAAGTGAAGGAGATAAAGAGGATTACTGCTCTCTGTGACCCACATTAAGGGCTGATGATGCAACAGTTAAAGCACAGCAGCAGATCAGAGACAGAGCACATCTTTCATTACCTGATGCTTCTACTAATGCTTCTTTATACAGCAACATCATAATATATATATATACACACATCATTCAAAATCAAGGAGGCGTCAGCAAACCACCTCTATTTTTATTTTGGTATAGAAGTCTGTTCTGAAAAATGAGTAAAAACATCTAAAAATGTAGCTGTGAACTGACATCATATTTCTTATTTAAGCATATTCCCCACACATCATTCAAAATCAAGGAGGCGTCAGCAAACCACCTCTATTTTTATTTTGGTATAGAAGTCTGTTTTGAAAAATGAGTAAAAACATCTAAAAATGTAGCTGTGAACTGACATCATATTTCTTATTTAAGCATATTCCCTTAACAACTCTCTTAAATGATTCCCACAGTCTTGGAAAACCTGTCTGAGGGAATTTTAAAAGTGTGATTTGTAGACCTAGAAAAAGTCATGGAAATGTAATGTTTTTATAGTTATGTCAAGATGTAAAATATTTACTTGCATAGAAATTGCTAATTGGGAGTAAAAAAGTCTTATCCCACTATCGTGAAAAACTGGAAAAGACATGTAAATTCAATTGTCATAAAGAACTCTTCTGAACATTTGGTTCTTGAAACTTTTGGAATTACAAAATGTAATTAATTGGCCTTATTCCCAATTATTTAAATTATTTCACCACCTCCTAGTTTCTGTAAATAAAGGGGTTGGGGGGGTTAATTTGTCATTAGAGCATAAGTTCCAGAATTCTATAAATGGGTACACACACACAGCCTTCAAAATTTGTCTGGGGACCTTGGAGTAAAAAACATTGAGAACCACTTATGTAAAAGGTTTACAGTCACTCAGTATACAGATTGTAGGAATATTAAGTGTGCTTTCAGTGTCTGAGTCTGACTGTCAAACAATTTACAAACATTATTTTGTATACAACTAAGAAACAGCAGGCGATATTTAAATAAAAAAAGAGAAAAAAAGCCACTCTGGTTCATTCTAATTCATCAACCTAATTAATTATGTCAAAAAATTAAATGCCAGAGCCAAACTATTGTTTAAAATAAGTCAAACAGCTCAAGATATATTGGCTGTCACAGGTGTTTCTATTAAAATCAGCTTGACAATATAGTTAAACATTAAACAAAAGGAAGTGACAACTTATTAACAGACCATGGAAGGCGAATTCAGAACCCAATTCGTTTAAAAATTCCTCTACAAGTTAAAATAATAATAGAAACAATAGTAGTATTGTTTCTCCTCCGTGCTTTATAACGTTAGTTTACTTCAAAATATGCAGCTGATGAGGATGCTACCTGTACATGCTAACTAAATAACAATAGAATAATAACTCGCTTTACAACTGATACAAAATATACAGATATCAATTTTAAGAGCTATCTGCAATGAGACACATTAACAAACGACCTAACAAACTTGAACATTACAGTTCTTCCTTCTGCTAACAGTGCCTGTACTTCACTAGCCTCTCCCATGCTGACAGCCCAGTGCTACTTTGTTAGCATTTCACTAGCAAATTAACCCGAACAAAGAAAAGCACAGTACTTTTAGGGTAACATCACACAATTTCCCTTGTCGTCGGATCTCCTCCATCACTGCATATCCACGAGCGGGCAAATCGGCGACAGAAAAATGCATCAAATCTTCTAATTCTTCAAAAATTGTGTCACCCATCGTCATTGATGGACTGGAAACGACACTTTTTGTCCAAACCGAGACGCCGTAGCTTGAGCTGTATTACTGTGTGAGTGCCCTCCACCGGCGGTGCCAGTTCCCTATCATGCAGGGGTCATATACGGCTCAAATCAGCTTTATGTGGATGTAGGCTACTGATCTTATTTGTATGATTCACATGTACATTATGGCTTAGGTTGAGTCCAGACTACAGACCAGATCTATAGTCTTTGACAACATGTGTTTGGTCACGTGACGAGAGTGATCCGTCTTATTCATTTTGTTAGTAAAAGTTAGATGTTTAATATAGGCCTATGCGAATTTGCCATTGTAGTATTTTATGGCTGATGTGTTTTAATTAATAGGCTAATAATGAACCACAAACTACGATCGTTTTTTTTTTTTTAAAGGGGAAATCCAAAGACCGTTTATTTATTTGTGTTACAATGAGGGTAAAACATAGTTTCCTCATTCATATTGTTAATAAAACGTCAAAGTTTAATATAAGTAAATTTGTCATCGCACTGTTTTATTGTATAGCCTTTTGTATTATTATTAATAATAATAATGAGCCACAAACTAAGCATTCGTTTGAAGTAATTGAAAAATCCAAAAACCTTTTATTTATTTGTTACAACGTGGGTATGTCTTATTCGTTCTGTTAATAAAAGTTTTATGTTTAATCTACTTTGTCATTGTAGTCTTGCTGATGTTGTGTGTGGGATTTTTTTTGTCATTAAGAGTAATACGAATCAACCTTAAGCATTCATTTTGTTCCAAGAATATGAAAGATCTAACGTTAAATATCAAAATAAGCGCTGTAGAAGAGAGAATGCGAGATTGTTATTATTATTGGTTGCTGCTGAGGTAATAGACGCTCTCGGGCTTTCTCGGTTGTATCTTCGCAATGGCTGTAGAAATGGTCGTTAATTCTTGATTTGGGTCCGGCACAGACATGTTACAGGTAATAAATAATATGATCAAAAAGTCATGGCAACAAACGACTTCCTAAGTCAGTTTAAGTTGAAATGACTTTCACAATCAATTTGATTAAACTTAATTCATGTTTTACTGTTGCTTATTGTCACTGTAGGCTTAGGCTATTTTTTTCTATGTATTTTAATGAAATTACAAATTAATCAAATTCGTTTTATTTATTTTTTGTTACAAATTTTTCATTTATTTATTTTTAACACCGCACCCCAAATGTATAGGGCCCCATTCCTATGTTTTGCCTGGGGCCCCCAATTCACTAAATCCGCCCCTGTGTCAAATAGCCTATTTATTAAATAGTGTTTATTAAATATTAATTTGTAACTACAGGACTTTGCCAGCAGGTGGCACAAAATATCCAGTAACATGACTGAAAGTTACTATGAATTCTATTTACAAAAATAAACAGGGATCAGTCATTCTGGCAGGCTTGAACTGGCAGGAAAATAAGTTTTTCAGGCAGAAGAGCTGTTACCTCAGGGAGAATTTAGCAGAAATGCTTTTCTAAGAAACAAAAATGAAGATGATTTCAAAGAATTAAACTGACTAAAACTTTTTAGAAAGCAAAACGAGGCATAGAACAGATGTAAGTGTTGGGATACTTGGTGAAATCAACTTTCAGGAACTGATTAACAGTGTATGAAGACATAATGTGGTAAAAAAAAATTTAAGTGAGTATTTTCATATTTAAATTAAAAACAAAACATTAAAGCGATGTTCATGTACAACTGCTGATGATTGGCACATTATTAGCAACAACTTTATACTACACCGAGTAGCAACTTATGCAACTTATCATGGGATTTCGCAAGAAAGAGAGTGAAAGGTATAAAGGGTCAGTAAGGGTGAGATACTCCACAAGCATAGCGAGTAGCCCTGAACAAGTATTTGGACACTTTTGGACACCAAAGACTCTCTTAAAAACGTGTAAATGTCATTGTATTCTAGAATCAAATGATGCAATAGCTACCCTTTTTCAGAATTAACTTCCCATTTCAAAGAATTTCTGTAAGTTTACTTTTAACCAACAAGTCTCAGGGCATATGAAGTTTCCCTCAAGTTTCTTAGCAGAGTAACCAGCTCAGGTGTAGTTCATTGGATTAAGTATGTCTATCTTTTGAGAACCAGAAAATGTCAAAAGTGTCCTTTTAAAAAATATATAATATCTATATTTATCATTTAAAATAGAAACAGAAATGCATATTTGTCAAGTGTACTTGTTCTATATTGCTTAAAAATAGAAGTAAATGTTTTTCGGTCGACTGTGGCATAATAAAAGCTCCGCTGCTTTTGAACCGTGTGTCGCGCTCGTTCAGCGGCCTCGTTACGCTTCGATGGCTTTCAGCCTCCCCCTGCTTCATTCTACTACGTTAACAAATCATTAGCTCATCCATGAACATGATTTCTCGTCGGATTGCATCGGCTGTGGGGATGAAGACGACAACTCCCATGATTCCACACTCAGTCACGGCGTCAACAAACTATGACTTTGGCTGCGTCCGAAATCGCATACTGCTTAGTAGGTACTACATTTGAATTTGAACGTACTACTCGACCGTTATTAAAGTACGTTCTATATAGTATGAATGCGAGTAGTATGAATGGAATTTGGAAAAATGTCCTGATAATTTACTCACCCCTATGTCATCCGAGATGTTCATGTCTTTCTGTCTTCAGTCGCTAAGAAATTAAGCTTTTTGAGGAAAACATTCCAGGATTTTTCTCCATATAATGGACTTCAATGGGAACCAACGG